AATAAATTTCAACTGTCTCTTTCTGATTCTAAGTATAAGTCCCGTTTTTGTTGAAGTCTTCCCCTTTGTTCATATGCTTAGTCCATGGTATTCTCCGCATCCTTCTGCAGAACCAGTAGAATTCTGTCGATTCAAGTTTCATCATCATTTTCAGGAAATCATCTGGCATTGACTGTCACATTGGAGCACTTATATAACGTAGCAGTTAAGCACGCTTTTCTTTGTTTTTAACAAAATCTTCCTATCTCTTAATACTTTGTTTAGCCTCTGTAAGGCATCTTTCGTTATTCGGATTTGTCTTGGGATCTCTGCGTCTCATTTACCGTCGACAACACTACTCAATTGAACTTCTGTAGATGCTTTGTTTTGATCGTTTCACTCCAAGCAAGGCGATAAAGCCACTAGGACGCAGGGAATGAAATTGAATGAGGAAAGTACAAAAAAGGAACCCGGGTTCAAGAATACAGAAGATGGCGGTTGACGTTGCATGTAAATTTTTGAAGATTTCAGTTATCAGGGAAGCAAGAAATCGGAAGGAATTCAACAGGTTGGAAGTGTGAGAAAAGAAACTGTTAGAGTAGAAGTGGCAGTTATATGTAGCTAGTTCAACAGTAAAACGGTGAGACCTAATTGCCAATCTAGTAGCACGCTTAAATTCATGTAGTCAGGGCACCGGCAAAAAAAGCTTATCAGAGCAGTTGACATGAAAATATTTATAAAAAAGGTAGAGGGAAGTCACGTCATGTCAGTGAGAAAGTAACTGAAGTCAAGATGTCTGGTCAGGGTTGATTGCATTACAGATCCTTTGTATTTTGTCAAGAATCTTGAGATATATAGTGGGAGCACCAGACCAGATATGGCAGCAATATTCAATGCACAGACGAATGGTAGATTTAGAAATGTGCAAGATGGATTCTGATGAGAAAAACTGTCTGCCAAGACACAGTGAACCAACATTCCATATAGTCGCTGCACTTCATGTCAGTGGAAAACGTGAGGCCAACAAGGTGTAGAGTGTTGTTCTCTTGGAGTTTGCCATCAGCGATGATGATAGCAGGCAGAAAATTTTCATTGTGGTGATTAGACGAAAGAAATTTTGTTTTGTAGGCGTTGAAATTTACAAGCCATTTCTTGCCCCAGTTAACCACTGTTTAGAGGTCCTCTTCAAGATCAGCTACAAGGTTTATTTTGTCGGGTCTTTCGGATTTGCATTCAGTGTGCCATGTGTGTCAAATTCTACAGATATTTTTGTTTAAGATATTTCAGCTGTCTATTTCTGATTCTAAGTATAAGTCCCGTTTTTGTTCCAACCTTCCCTCTTGTTCATATGCTTAGTCCATGGTATTCTTTGCATCCTTCTGCAGAATCAGTAGAATTCTGTCGCTTCAAGACTCATCATCCAACAATGACCTTCACTAATCTCAAATGCTGGATTAAAGCTAATCTTCTAACTTATAATTTTTTTTTAATCATTTCACCCCAAATGAGACAATAAAGCCACTAAGACGGAAGTGGGTTGAAGGTACTGAATGTGACAGAATATGAGTAAATATTATTAAGGAGAAAGAACAATAAAAGAACAGGACAGGAGTAAATGTTTGTGTCACCTGCAGAAAAGCTTCATTCTAATACCTCCCATTCATAGCTCACACTCTGGACTGTCCCTTTTACTGACAACCATATATTTTGTCTTTTTACAGTTTAGTAGTTAGTCCTTTCTTCTTCTTTTCTTTTACTACCTTGTTTAGGAGTACTTACTCATAACGTACACGCATTGATTCAACTTCCAATGACTTTCATTAATCTCAAAGCTCGATGAAAGCTAATCTTCTAATTTATAATTTTTTTAATCATTTCACCTCAAATGAGGCAATAAAGCCACTAAGACGGAAGTAGGTTGGTGGTACTGAATGTGACGGCATATGAGAAAATATTATTAAGGAGAGAGAACAATAAAAGAACAGGAATTAAGAAAAGAAAAGATAACGATTGATCTTGCAAGAGGCCGGAACAAGAGAGTTCCACAAGCGAGAAGTGCGAGAGAAGAAGAAACTGTTAGCATAGAACTTACGGTTACACTTATCCATTTCACAAGTTGTACATACCATTGTATCCATGCAGAATTGTAACCAATGTTTGAGTTTTAATATTCCCTACTTTCCTTCATACACATAATTACATCAAGAAAAACACCACTAAAGGACGAAACGCGCTACACAAAAAAATATTTTCCACTTTATCATTAATATAAGAATATAGGAAAAGGAGAGAAGGCTATTAAGGGGTGAGATCAATAAAAGAAAACAGAAGATAACGTTTGGCATTGTATTTCTTTTTTTTGAAGACCAAATTGAACTGAAAAGGAAGAAGTCGGGAGAGAATTCCACAAGCGAGAGGTGCTAGAGAAGAAACTCTTTGCATAGAACTTACGGTTACATCTAGCCATTACAACTGTAAAATAAGATCTTGCTGTTAATTTAGTCAGCCATTTAAATGCCATACGGGATACATGCTTTGGAGATCATATCTCTCCACAACTTCCTCACCTAAATAAATGCTGACTCTTTCAGTTAAGTGCCATACGCGATACACGCTTGGGAGATCATGTCTCTCCACAACTTCCTCACCTAAATAAATGCTGACTCTTTCAGTTAAGTGCCATACGCGATACACGCTTGGGAGATAATGTCTCTCCACAACTTCCTCATCTAAATAAATGCTGACTCTTTCAGTTAAGTGCCATACGCGATACACGCTTGAGAGATCATCTCTCTTCACAACTTCCTCACCTAAATAAATGCTGACTCTTTCAGTTAAGTGCCATACGCGATACACGCTTGGGAGATCATGTCTCTCCACAACTTCCTCATCTAAATAAATGCTGACTCTTTCAGTTAAGTGCCATACGCGATACACGCTTGGGAGATCATGTCTCTTCACAACTTCCTCACCTAAATAAATGCTGACTCTTTCAGTTAAGTGCCATACGCGATACACGCTTGGGAGATCATGTCTCTTCACAACTTCCTCACCTAAATAAATGCTGACTCTTTCAGTTAAGTGCCATACGCGATACACGCTTAGGAGATCATGTCTCTTTCGATTTATGATTGACTAGGCTGAAGTTTTTCCTGCAGTAGATTTCTGTTTCTGTCTGCGGTAGACTGGTTGCTAACCTAAAGTATCGGACCAAGTCTGTCTATTTAACACATAGGTGGGGTGACGAGACGCATTCATTACTTTCCCAAAGGAATTTGCGTGTAAGGGCAAGTAAGGAACCCGGCCAGCTTTCGACCTCGGATCTCCGATTTCTTCCGAGCTGTTATCCGTTACACGTCTAGTCTTCTTTTATGTATCGTGTCCATTCAGGACGTAGGTGATCATGGCCCTCCACTTCCTCCTATCTCTTGTAGTTCTCAATAAGTTTTGTATTTTTTCTGCTTCACCCAGAACCTGTTCTGCCATCCACTTGCTTAAGCCCTCTAGGTATGTCACGCGTTACTTTCTCTCGTCCCACGTTCTCTCTATTCAACCCGTGAGTATCAGATTTTCTAGAAATTTCAGCTGCATCTTCCTGATGTTAAGTATAAGATTCCTCTTTGTTTGCATCCTCTCCAAAACCTCATCGTTGTTCACATTTTTGGTCCATGGTATCCTTAGCATCCTTCTGTAGAATCATACCGCTGTTGCCTCGAGTGTCTTCTTCATCATTGAGGAGACCGTCCATCATTCGCTGTCGTAAAGGAGGACAGATATCACGTAGTAGTTCAGTACTCTTTGTTACCAACGAAATCCTCCTGTCTCGTAATACTCTGCCTGGCTTTTGGAATGCGTCTTTAGCCATTCCAATACATCTTCGGATCTCAGCATCGCACTTACCGTCTTCTGCCAGATCACTTCCCAGATATTTAAATTTCCGCACCTGTTTGATTTTAGTGTCCCCAACCTGTAAATCGCATTTCGGGCTCATCTTTTTACTGATGACCATGTCATCTTGTAGTTTGTGCTTAGTCCTTTCTTCTCGCTCTCCTTTGCTACCTTAAATTGCACGCACACGTCTAGTACTTTGCTTAAATTCATAGAGTCTATGTACCATAGAGGAAAGTAATATTTATTTTTCAAATACAAATATGTAGTACAAGGCAAAAAGGGGGGTAGGTGGGAGAGGCTTGTCTTTAATCTGTCTCATATTAAACTAACTTAGCCGCAATTCTAACTCAAACATTCCATAGTATGTCTGACACCAAAACAACACATTCTTACTTACCATTCTTACTACAGTCACTATAATACCTTAGGGTCTCTATGAATAGAGATAAGCTCATCAGAACAATTACCATGAAAGTATTTATAGAAAAGGCACGGGGAAGTTACGTTACGGCGGTGGGAAGTGATTGAAACCGAGATGCCAGGTCAGAACCA